GTTTGGAGATTAATATAAGTTAAGTTGTTTGCTTTACTGTTACATAATCTTTAAAGTGGAATGTCTCATTGTTCCAAAGAAGGAACTACAAATTAAACTTCTACTCCTAATTATATTCTCAAGTCAACATCGAGGTGGCAAATAAATAAATCAATATGTACTCTCCTTGTTTCTTACCCTGGTACCCCTTGTGTTATTATTACCTTTTTCTATTAGGATCATAAGTTTATTAAATTAAAAACTTTTGCCCCCAAGAAACAACTTAATTGTAACATTCCTAGTGTCTTCTTGTCTTATTAAAACACAGAGGCTTCTAAGTTAAATTCAATCAAATATATATATCTTAAACTACTTCCATTAAACTATTCAAACAATCTCCCAATTAAAAAGCAATTATTATGCTACCTTAGCACTCTCACGCTAATGTGGCTATTTATGTATAATACATTGAGCAGGCTCTACTTCTTATTTATATCAAGAAGAAATGTTTTTGATAAACAGTTGAAATGAAATTTTTTTAAATATATAATTTATAGGTGAAAAAGGGGTAGAACAGACGGATTTTACGGAGCAAGAGAGAGACTGGGATAATATTAGGAAAGAGGACTGCATAATAATAAAGCAGACTCTGATCAAAATTCCCTGCACAAGGATGAAGGGGGGGGGTGAGAACGACAGTTGGAGTGTGAAGGTTTCGTGTCGCTCAAAGGAGCACACCAAACTATATCTAAATAAACACATTAAAAATTGTAATAGTGAAGGCATGATAGGATGCTACCGAAAATGTGAATAACCCAGGGCAGAAGAGGAGATACCACAATTGTTTAGCACACTTTTGGCTTGACTTGTCTCTGACCCGTTGTTGTATGGTGTTAAGAATGGCGATACTTACTGACGATGCCGACTACGATGCCGGCGAAACGTTTTGGAATCTACAACATCCACGGTTCAACTTTGGAAATGATCATGCAGACAATGGACTCCGGACTAGGTGCGTTTCTCTAAGTCTTCCTATTAATGTGACCAAGTTGCGAAAACAAGGTCAAACAACCAAATCATGGAATGCCTAATTAAGATCGCAAAGTGAGGTATAAGAAATAAGTAGGATCTCAGCTAGCCACTTTCTTCGTCTAGTGTTTTTTGGTGAATAATGGTTTCTGGCTCTCACAATGTCCGTCACATGACGGGCAAAACCTCAGCACGGAGTCATCAAGGTCGTAGAACAGTGGGCCGAGGTCTTCTTCGCACAATTCAACATACAAAAGTCCAAGGCAACCCTCCTTCGGTATCCGATACGGCCAACCCACGAATCCCTTCCACCCAGCTTCTCAAACAAAATGAAAGGTATGCCCATCTCAAAGCTACACCTGCACTGTGACTGTATAACGGAGTGGTTAATTGTCGCCAATAGGCTCACCAATAAGGTTCGAACCCAATTTTGGTTGTTACTGTGCTCTAGACGAGGTCAAAACTGCAGTTCACCTTGGAGGAGAATAGATGCTATATAAAATATAATGGAAAAATGAGGCCCACTCACATCATTTCTGGAAAATTTAACTACAAGTCCTTCATCACTTTAAACGAAATAGGGTAAATACAGCTCATATATATGACCTATTGGTAGTCTCGAAACCCTAATTATAAACGAAAAATAAGTAGGGTAAAGGATTGCTATAACAAATACACTTTTGCTTTATCGACAATCCCACCATAGAATGTGATATGGGAAAAGATGAATACAGCGTTTATATCAGATCTAATGGTAGTCTCTAAGGCTAAAACTGTATTGTCAGTACTTAAGCCATCTTAAACGACACTGGCTTACTAAGTTCTTAATATAGTTGCTCATAACATGTGTATGTTTTGAGGATAATTTCATAACAGACAGCAAGTTTACTCCTTCACGGCCAGCTCGGGTAAAAGGTGTTCAGATAAAGACGATTAGGGCATCCCATGTTTCGACTACGGATGGACTCTGCAAAATCGCTTTTAAAGCTATTACGCTTCGGAATGTGAGCGTAACAGCGAATCTGTCTACAAATGTGATTTCAGACTTGATCAACAACTTGGGAGTAAATCATCTTATCAAACCATTCCCTCTTCAGTTTCCGTCGTCTTTGTCCGTCCTCTCCGGTGCTTCCGTCTTTTCGGCGGACCTACGTCAACCAGTTGGTTCTTTGAAGTCTGACCAATTTTCGCTCTCATTCTGCGATGGCGACAATCCGGTCTCGCGATGCAAAGAGTCTTCTTCGCCGTCGGCCACCTCCACGATGCAATGTCCGCCCGTCTGTGTCGGGCAGTTGGGCCGTCTGTCCGGATCGCCAGCATCGACTCCCTCACCACCGCCTCGATTGGACCACCTCGGCCCGAGAAAAACGCTCCGACTCACTGGCTTTCCAGACCGAGGCAACTTGAGCCCGTCAACCGGCAGCCAAAATCACACGACGACTCATCTGAAAGGTATGATTCGAGCTACGGAGGTGGCAAAACCGGACGAAGACGAGGCTGACGGCTTCATCCAACTGGCCATCAGAAATGAGGTGGGCTTATTTTCAAATTACTACCTTCTCTACACAACGCTCATCTGCCTCGTCTGACCTTTGCTAGGCTGTAAAAAGCAGTTATTTTCAATGTTTCAATTTAACTATTATATCTATTTATTTGTAAATAATTAAAATATTATTCATTTTATTTTTGCTTTTATCTTTATCATTCGTTTCAATTTGTATAACTAAAGGAGGGAAAAAATACAGAAGAACATTAATTGCTCTAAGCCTAAACTTTATCGCCTGTAGCCTAAAGTCCATAAGTAGGACTACTGTAAATATGAAGAAAAAGCGATTTTTAATGAATTTGATGAAATAAAGTTAATCGGGGTGACTCTCATTTCGTATGAAAGTGCATGATGAAGCGATTCGTAGGTCGATCTCACCAAAAAAGAACGGCTGATTTTCGTTTTTCCTAGTCGCTTGGCGACATTCAGGATGCTTTGAAGGTATGCGCATTGGTGGGAAAATGGAGCAAAAGAAGACGAATTGCCTACTTCAAAAAGACGATCAAGATGGGGTGGTCTTTTATTTGGTCACTATCTTCTTTAGCTGTCCAGTGATAAAATGATCTCGTTTTCGCAACTTGGTCGAAGCGACAGGAAAACCTTGTGAAGCATACCAAGTCCTGTACTCTCTGTCTTCGAGTATTCGAGACGATTTCCAGCATCAGACCATTGACTTGCGGGAAAATTCAATTAAAAGTCCTTCATCACCTTAAAAGAAATAAGGTGAATACAGCTTATACATATGATCTAGTGATAGACTAGAGAAAGCTACTTATGAAACGAACAATAAAATTTATGATTATGTGAAGTGTGATGCTTACGGATTGAATAAAGAGTTAACTATAAAAGGCTTCATTGATAATAATATCACCATAGTGATGAATACATTTTCAGAAATATGCAAGTCAAGACCCTTTCTCATGTTCTAATCTTGTCGTCATGTTTTCGTTCTAACAAGCTAGGAGAGCTAGTGAAGAAATGGAAGATAAAGACAGTTTTCAAAGAAATTTTGACACTTTCTCCGGTTTTGCCTTCTTTAAGAGAGAAATATGGCCAATTATCCGCATCCGGCTTTTACAAGATTGTGTGCTCCTGTGCTCGACCTAATGTTGGTGAGAGATACCAATCTACTCAACAAAGATTGGGGGAACACCAAAATGTTTGCAAAGGCATCTGGGTTCGATGGTCGAAAATGGCGCTAAACATGGCAGAGACTGGACATGAAAAAAAGTGGTATCAAACTAGAAGGTTTGCTGATTATAGTATGCTGTTAAAAGGGAGATATGAAAGGCTATTACAATTAATAGATTAAGGAAAAGGTTGAATTTGAGGGATAGGGGTAGAAAGTTGATTAAGCATTACTTATAGAAGTGGTTTGACCTCGTTGTCGCAACTTGGTCTTGTTTTCAGGGAGACCATGTAGAACACACCTAGTCCGAAGTCGT